AAGTTTTTACCCTATTTAAAAAAATCCCGAGTCAAAAGCATTGCATGCATTATTAAATATTTTGCCTACATGGTGTTTTCACAAATCAAAACTACTATGTATACATTGTAAATTCAAGAGAGTCAAAACGACCCCCAAAAGAGTATATTCAATATCAACTGGCTATCAACTCAATACTGCAATATATTGATGGGAGATAATTTCCATACACTTAGTGACGTTTTTTGAACGAAAGGTAAATATTACAGTTTATTATCATTTACTTTATATTACATGCAGAAATGACAGACAATTTCTCATGAAATTTTAAATGTACTGTACGTTTGAGCACAGTAAATATATTGCATGCAATAACTATTTTTCATATACACTCAATTTATAAAGACTATAAAGTTTTTGGTAAAATGGTATAAATATTCGAGTTTGGTGACACATAATATGGTAGTAACGAACGCTCCATTTGACCATATTTTGACCCTTACGCATATATAAAGGAATCACTCAATCATGTAAGTTTGGGTAAATGCAAATTTTCATTATATATGCATAGTCATTGCCAAAGTCATCTTATAAAAGGAACTTTCTCGAAGATCTTTCAAATTAAATCCCTATACAGCTAGAATTAAGTAATATATGAAGAGAATATAGGCTTTTAGGCCTACAATAGTTTAGGAAAAAGTTTGTGGTGCATGACCTCCACAGAGACGTGCATTCATATATGACTTTTCTTGGGCAATGCAAAATTGATATATATGTTGATAGTTAGACTGCACATATTTGTTGAAAAACAGATAAGACTAATAGATAATATGTGGTTATCTTTTGTTTACCCTCGCGAACCGCAATTTACTTGAAGTTGCTTGGGAGTTTTTATCTTCGTTTAATTAATAGATAAAATCCTATATTCCCACTTTATTATATAAGCATTATACAATCAAGTTCTGCCGGGGCAGAATAGCTAACAGTTCCAACACCAATCTTGTAACGAAAAGAATGCCAATGGCTTCCAGAGCATCAAAACTGCAGTTGTATCGAAGTAAGCTATTTTTAAGTTTCTTCTAGCTGTAATGAACTATAATATCTTATTTTTTCTGCGGTAAATTTTATAATGTATAAGCTTTTTTGAAAAATAATTTGTGCATATATATAAACAAAGTATATTGTGGCATGTATATATATATAGTTTTAACTATTTAACGTTTAAAAATGTTGTTCATTTTACTGAGCAAAGTAAAAGTATATTAAGTATATAGCCTATAGGTAGTATTTTATTCATAGTTTTGTATTGTTAATTTATTTCAGTGTAAGCATTTTTGAATTATATTTTTTACTGCATGATGAACAGTGAAGTTGTCAATCAACGCATGCATGCTGTTGTATGTTACTGAGCGAAACAAAGTATGTTGAAGTTCTTTTCTATTTGCGGAAACGTTTAACTTTTTTTTTTAATTAATTTTAAAACAGAATGTAACACGTTTTAACGTCTGTTTTATTTGAAGGCTTTTGAAATTTGAATTAATTGAAAACAGACTTTGCAACCGATGGAGGTTGAAGTACATCGATGGTTTACAATTTTGGGAGGTTAAAGTTAAACTGAATAGTTAAAAAATGGTAAAATATTTACTAAAAGCAAGGGGCGCAGTCGCGCAGACTTAAGCTAAAACTATAAGAGAAAACTGTTTAACTATATTAAAAATGCGGGTATATCAATGTTCATTATTGATCATCACACATGACGGAATGAACAAATTTTCAAAACGGTTAGTTCTACATTTAACTATAGAGCATGTTTATTAGAAAGCTGTAATTGAGTGGATTTTCACCGTGGATGAGTTCGGGCAAGGAAGAGGACTGTAGAAGAACCTTTTTCTTGAAGAAGTTTGAACATATAGGAATTCGCTTGAACTTATATTCCCCAGTCAACATGCATGAGTCATTCTAGTTCAACAAATATATTATACTATAACAGTGTCGTTAGGTCTTTTTGCAACCCGAATAGTGAAACACTTTTCAGTCTTCCAACCGCTTGTCAATCAAGTCCACCAGTCCATTAAAAAATCCAAAATTTCTCTCCCAGAAAAATCGACCACCTCAAAATACTATATTCACGTTTAGTTGTTCAAGATTATTTTTCGTTCCTTTGTCCCTACCTGTCTCTCAAATTTTGTAGGTTGAATCGGGTATAGATTCAACTAAGATAAGATTAAGAAGGTAGACATGACAACGGTTTTCCTTATATTTCATGCATTAATTACTAGATTGTGCGGTTTTTGCTTGTCATATAGTTATTTGTAAACAAAATATGTTTTTGTGATTCAATTAAAGTGCATGCAAGACTTAATTGTTAATTATAAAGTGTGCTAAAATTGAAGGCATTACTTTGTCTCATTAACTTTCCTTATTATTTGACTGTAATTAACTTTTCCTCGCGGAGACGTTAATGAAATTTCCTCGGAAACGTGGGCGTTAAATTACTTTAAATTAATAGGAAACAGCGCATTATCAAGAACGACTGAATGTATATGCTGGTTTTTAGCAGAGATCCGCCCATGAACTCGTTTTTTTTCGAAGGATATTTTTTAATACGTACGGACAAAAACGTTAAAACATGAAACAAAATTCAAGTATTTTGTTTTTAGTAGTTACTAGTTAGTACAACCGTACAAGGTTTTAGTAGTTAGTACAAATTTTGCTATCACATACTGACATTCACCAGCCACTGCACATCCAGCCATCGCACGATTTTAAGACTCTTTTGAAAGATTTTTTTGGAAAGTGCATGTACGAGGAATTTTGGAGTAAAAACTAGAGGGCACTCACTTTCACAAGTCACAACCTATGCATAAATTATACAATGTGCTAATAACGCATTTAGTTCACTCTGCCCCGTCAAATCAAAGCAAGACAAACTGTTGCTAATTAATTCTCATCCAATTTTCAATGAAATTTAACCATAATTTAGTCAACTTGTCCTTTGGGAAATGTCATGCATGGGTCCCGCAAATTTTCGTGTCAATACGTTTGATCGTTTTTGAGTTATCGTGTGCTGATAGACAAACACAGACAAGCACACACACATAATGACTGTCGCCATAGAGTAATTTAGTATTTAACACAAAAGAATAGACAATCAATAAATTGTTAACATTTGAATTATCTACGTTTTAATCCTGCTGAAAATGACTGTAAAGAAATAATCAAAACATGGAGTATTAAACTGTCAACAATTTACGAAGTGTTTGTTGATTTGTGTTTAATTTTTGGAATAATTCAGCCCCCAATGACGATGCAAAAATCTTAAAAAGTAAAATTACTCAAATTTATGTCCGAATTTACTAATTTTTGAGTGAAGTAAATCTTTACTCAAAAAATTGAGTAAATTTAAAACATTACTTAAAGAAAGAGTAAATATGGTCTGAAATTCTCAATAATTTTACCCAAAATTTTGATCACTTTGAGTGCAATATTTTACTACAATGGTTTTGAGTCAGAATACTCGTGAATTTTATAGCCTTGTTGTGTAGATATTCCTAAAATTGAAAAACGCGCTCTGTACTAAATTACTGGTTCTCTTTCTTGAAGGACGTATTGGGGGTAAGTCGAGCAGATCTGTAAGAAGTCGCAAAGTCAATTCCATCACTCAAGAAGATATGTTTGAGTTGATCATAAAATTTCAGGTAAGAATTGTGTTAAAATAACTTTCTAATGGAGGCCTGCGGGGGGGGGGGGGCATTCGTTTAGTACGTACACATGGCAGGAGAGTTGTCTTAAGTGGACAAAACGGTGATTCTATTTTTGTCTTTGCATGAAGATTTAATCTTCTTAGTTTGAAGTCCTGTCGTGGTCCAGTCGCGTCGTAGGTCATAAAATCTTAATTAACTTTATCCGCGGTTTTCTTGCAGGAATCGCGTATCAACGACCAACGTTGTGACCCCGATCTTATACAACAAGTCTCTATCGTGCCAGATGAAGATTTCTTTGGCCTAATATTCCGTCTGCAATCCAACCGTATTGATGAACAGCGGTGTAGTCTACCAGACAACCGACGGAGCAACAATACCGCGAAGCCTAAAGGGACTAAGCCCCAGTACAGGAAAGAATCACAGCTGTAAATAAAATGTGTTTCCATCACTTGAGAAGAACGATGTGAAGATTAAAGGAAAAGCTTTAAAATAAGCCTGCATAATGCATATTTCATGCAGGCTTTTATAGTTCTTTGCCAGAAACGGCAAACATGGTCCAATTGTTTGAACTATGAAGGAAACTATTCCAGATTTTTAAATCTGTCACCAAGATAGGTAGGCAGTATAGACTGATTACACAAATGATGTCTTTCTATTTTTAATTTCCAAAGCTGCACTCTAAAAACTGCACTCTGGTTGAAATTCCCGTTCATATTTCTAGTTAGATTTCCTGGTTGGTTTATCTCACTTCGTACCATAGTCTGGTTAATGTAACCAGGAATCTGGTTATATATGACCCAGGACGTCCCTGTTAAAATAACCAGACTAACCAGACTATGCTATAGGTGGATATATAACCTGAGCCGTGGTTAATTATCCACCCAACATATAGTCTGGTCAACTTAACCAGACTATAGTGGCAAAACGTTAAAATAACCAAGAAATTTAAAGCGAAATATTATAGTTGACCCAAATAGGGTTAAGCCTGCATGGTTTACACTATCAAAGTTTCTGTGATCACAGTAGGAATTTTGCATCGGTAAATTGTACGTTTTGAAGGATTTGTTAGAAATGCTTGAAGGAACTGACTCGGTGTCTAACATTGAGTCAGTTTGTTCAAACATTTCTGTATACAAATCTTTCAAAACGTAGAATTTACCAATGCAAAATTCCTTCTGAGATCACAGAAACTTTGATAGTGTAAACCAGACTTTATTTCTAGGTTAACCATGGAAAAATTTAACCAGAATGTTTTGGAGTGTGGGCTGAAGGGTAAATACTGATGCATGTATTATAACAATGTGTTGTATATATGTTGTTTTAGAAATCACTATGTTTATATAGCCCTTTTTGCGTGAGACATTGGCGAAGCACAGTCTATCAAAATAGGATGGTCTGGAAACTAAACACAAGTCACTGTGTTATGTTTTTATCTGAGTTTTTGTTAATTTGTGCACACTCACGGTGATTGAGGTCATTTTATTTTCGTATAATTAAGTAATGTCTGGTTCACACTGGTCGTAAGAATCGTGGATTTCCATTGTCTGTGGTCATTGATATGTAAAATGCATTGTCCATCGCAAAAGAATACAATACAGGGTGTATAAAAAAAAACGCAACCTCGGAATTTCCCAAGAAATAGACATGGTTTTAAAGACAAAAGATTTTAGGCGCCTGGAAATTTAAAATAGCACAACTGTCAAAATTACTGCACACGCGAGTGCATAAAGCAAAATTTATGCATTTATTTAATGCACAACAACAGTAATATGATCTGTTAGCAATTCGATTTCAATTCCCAGAGGCCTAAAATCTTTTATGCTTAAGAATTGCAAAGTATTTCTTAGGAAATTCCGAGGTTGCGTTTTTTTTATACACCCTGTAGATCGCCGATGAATTACGACCAGTGTGAACCAGGCTTTATCGTCCAACAGGGATAGCTGAATGAAATGTGCAACCACGTTGAATAATATTTAATGTTGAGACAAAGGATTTGCACACATGGTGAGGTAAACAGTTCAACATAAACATCTTTCAAGGTTGTCGGGTTTCCAGACCATCATATCTTGACGGACTATTTGGAAAAAGAAAGGGCGGACGAAAAGAGGTTAAGCATGTTTACAAGCTTTCCATGCCGGAACTATTAATTGGAGCAGGATTTTAGGTGCGAATTTCTTGTTCGGTTGGGTGCATGGGAAGTTGGGAACGAGTCAGATGAGTTATGAATGTCGAGACGAGGGTACATATTCTCAAAACATTCATAGCTTATCTACTCGTTCACATCAGAAGAAGAAAATTGCTTTAGAAATCGTAGTTTCAAAAGGCAAGGTTATTCTGAAATCTGGTGTCATGTAAGCAGCGAGTATAGTGACAAAAGTTTGGCTGGGACCAAATATATATCTCCGAGTTCGTCATTCACCTGTTCAAAACAAACGCACATGCAGGGAACCATAGCACAGCCGTTTATAACTGTATTGAAAGTTTGTTCAGTTCGTGGAGTTAGGTATTACAATTTTAAACGTATAGTGTGTGTGTGAAATAACTCTCTGTAAAGGATGGGGTAGGTTTTAATTATACGATGTTTATTTTACTTGACAATACTGACCCCTTGCCTTGTTTACATTTTGCTGGCAAGCTAATTCCGATTATACAAAAAGACTGTTTTTCCCAGGGGCTTTATATTACTTTTGGTTTGCCCAGGGGCTTTATATTACTGTGAAAAATTTAATCTTTGCACTCAATATTGAGCGCAAAAGAGCACTCCAAATTTAGACGTCACAGTCACCATGTTGCTGTTCCAATTGACCATTTGCGTAATAGACGAAATTTTGATCTCAACAAAAATTTCATCACAGCTTGAAAGAGCATCACAAAATTAGTAATATTCCAAAGTTTCGTTAGGAAATGTTGTAAAATGCGTAAAATATAGCCTTGCGAAATTTGCAATTTTCAGTCATTTTAGATTACA